GTCATTAGCACCTCTAGTAATATATTTACTGAGAAAAATGGTGACGTGTTCAATACTTATTTTACCCGCTGTATATATATTTCATATATTTAATATATTAATCTAAATTTTGACACTTTTTGTGCTCAAATTTCACCGGGACTTCTCAGAGTTCTCTTTGCTGCTCAGCGCAACAATTTCATTCCATTTAGCGTATTTACATAATGAAGAAGTCAGCTGTTTCCACGTCGGGATCTTGTGCTGGATGTATAATTTATTGCATCTTCTGCAGGGCTCGTGTTCTGCCTGCACCTGACGGGACGACTCTGTGTACAAATTAGCCTCTTTTCATGTTGCACAAGCAGCGGGGGGATTGTTCTGTTCACGAGATGCTCTGAGCTCTGGAAGCACCACTACTTTCCTCAAATTGTCTTGGTTTAATAATAAATTTAGCTCATCTGAAACATTTATGTGTGACAAACAAACAAAAAATATCTGTAAGGGGGCAGATAAATTTTCACTTCCACTGTAAAGCTAAGATGGTCTTTGTAATAACATTCATAATGTGTAATAACTGCATCTGATTTAGTATTTTCATGGGTTTGACACCTAAGGTTATCTAGGTTTTTACCATTTCAGGTTTTAAAGATGATTACAGTTCTGTTTAAATTCGTTCTTCACGTTCTTGTTTATAACAGAGCTGTAATACCGAGCTGTTTGAGTGCTGAGGGAAAAGTATTTTTTGAAGGTTGTATCCTTTTTCCCCCTCCCCCCTCCCTTGTTCTTTGAACAGATTTGTATCCATGAAGTCGAGAAGCCTCAGGGCGATTTTGTAGGTTCCCAAGAACACAATAAGTCTGCTCTAATAACTAAAAGGTCCCTCGGGAAGTCTGTTTAACCTTCAAACCCACACACTAATTACTCCGTGTGTTCTGCGAGTCTACAGAGATGAGTGGAAGCTAATGAGGGACCACCTATGCTCTCAGGGCAAACTGGGCGCTGAACGCTGGGATGGAGATATGTGAGTGGGCTGAAGGCAGCAGCTCATCAGCTCCTGGTGAATATTCATGTTGCTGCTGGATCTGATCAGCACGTGTGTCAAAGAAATGTTTAAATATTAAATGCAACTTCCARTCAGGTTAAAAACATAAAAAAGGGATGAAAAGATGAATGAATTTGACAACACATTACAGTTGAGTCAGGGTATAAGTCAATTTTTAAAAACTGATTTTATAACAGATGTTCTCTTCAATGTGACTCAAACACCGTTCTCTGGGTTAGTGTGACAAAACCACTGATAATCATAATAATACCTCAGCTACGTTTGCAATTTGTATTTTATTCTTTTTACCAGTCAGTGTTGCAGTGATGTGTGTTGTAGCACAACTTTCTGTTRAAAATGGAAAAATCAGCTCCCACACCGGTGATTAAACAAACCAGAAATCACTGAACAAGTTCCTAAAACGACAATAATAAATGTGTCCTGGTTAAATGGTCTGAAAATGTTTAAACAAATCAACCTAAACACAGAGGTTTATAGTAACTAAGTACATTTACTTTGTTACAATACTTTAGTTTTTTGAGGATTTGTAGTTTTACAAATTATTTTTTTTAAGAGCTGGTTGTACTTTTATTTTGTTATATTTTAAAGCTAAAAATGATACTTTTACTTTAAAATGTAACTTGTTACAAAGTTAAATTTGTTCAAACTCATGAAAGATGATGTTTATTCACTCTAAAAAATGAAGTGTTGAATTTACTCAACAAAGTCACGTCAACTGGCTCCATTAAGCCTAGTTGAGTAAATTGAGCAAATAAAATGCATATATTGCTCAATTTACTCAACCTGGCTTAGTGGAACCAGTTTGGTTCAGTAAATTCAACAGTTTTTTTCTTTATATTTTAGACAGTGTGTAAAAGTACTTTTACATTCCCAATTTTTGTGTACAGTTTTAAGACTTTAAATGAGTAGTTTTCTCATCAGTGAAATTTATTTTTACCAAAGTCGTTTTCTCTTCATGTAATTTTAATTTTTCTTACCGTATTTATTCAAGTATAATACGTAAAATTAAATCCATAAAATCATCCATAAAGTTGGGGGGTGGTATTATACTCAGATGAATATTTTTACTTATGTATTTTAACTGAAATTTTGGCTTCATTCACAAAATTATTGAGTCCGGAAATGAGGCCGCGTCGTAAAAAGTATTTGAAACGAGCTTACCTCTGACACTCCTCTGTGCTTCAGAGTGAGATAATAACAGATCCAGGCAGGTGACATGATGTGAAAAAAAGGAGGAAAAAGGTATTCCTGCACCTTAGTAATGATAATGGACTAATGACATTAGCGTGTGACTAGGCTGCTCCTCGAACAACAACAAACACATTTTCGCCTGTAATGGCTGCCGTCTACCGGTGTTTTGAAAAAGTTTGTATCCCTGAAAAAATGTTTCCCCACCAGAGGGGGCACTCGCGAGTAGGCAGTAATCTGCTTTTCCCCCACAAGATGGCCCAAATCTCATGTGAAGTCTCTGACTTTTGTGTTGGCGCCTCCTGGTGGACTATGTGTAAAATGCCAGAATTCATATGATGCTGCTACAGCTGATATGTGTTATACAGTATATGTGTTTACTCAATCTTGTTAGTCTGGAAATTTGACTCAAATTAAGAGAAAAACCTGCCAATGGAGTAAGACAATTTCACTTGGTAAGATACTTGAAGCCACTTAATTTGACTCAAATTTTTCTTATTTCAAGAATCTTACCATGTGCAGTTGTCTTACTCCACTGGCAGATTTTTCACTTAATTTGAGTCAAATATCCAGGCTAACAAGATAAATAATTGTACACATTTTGCTAACAAGGTTATTAATCTTACACATTCTGTTCTGATTTAGTAAATCAGTCTCAAAACAAGATCAAAAAGATTTTTTTTTGGCTGGATATAAGATTTTAAAACTTGGTTAGATGGACAGTTTTTTGCAGTGCACTGGCTAAATAAGAACATTTGATCAAATAATCAAATCTATGTTTTGTCCTGTTTATCATCTCTTGTCCTGCAGCTTTCGGAGATATTCGTCTTGTTTGAGGAGGAGCCTCAAGGGGCTGCGTCCTTAGCACAGGTCCACAAAGCAGTGTTGCATGATGGGAAGACGGTAGCCGTCAAGGTCCAGCACCCCAAAGTCCGGAGACAAAGCGCCAAGGACATAATGGTGATGGAGGTGAGCTCAGATACGTATTCTGGTTTCACTGGCTCGATCTTTTCACCTCAGAACTATAAAACCACGAGACAAATCATCTTCTGTACATCATTTTAGTATTCAACACATGAGCATCTGCTTGATTTATATTCAGTCTCCATTTGTCTGAGACACTTCCTGTTTATTCATGCGTTGAATTTAAAAACAAACTACCTTTATGGAGAAAAAATGATGCTGCAACATGTAAAGCATGTTTACCTTCTGACTCAGTGATTATTAATGTTAAAATAAGTTGTTTTTTTTTATCTGTAAACAGCTTCTCCTTCCTTCTGTATGTCAAGATATGAGCTATTATCTATATGTTTATTATTTAGCCACGAGTTTCTGAGTTTTTATTGAGTTATCCAAGGATTTCAGCTGACAGTGTGGTTTATTTATTCATTGAAAACAATCATTTTCTTTCTAGCTGTGTTGCATAAAGATGTTATGGGTGAGTCATTCGGTTTGACAGCATGTTTACCTTTAAAGGTTTTGGTGAAGGCAGTTCATTGGCTCTTCCCGGACTTCGCCTTCATGTGGTTGGTAGAGGAGGCCAAGAAGAACATGCCATTGGAGCTGGACTTTCTGAATGAGGGWCACAATGCTGAAAAAGTGGCCAACATGCTGTCTCACTTCCCTTTCCTCAAGGTACGCACAGTTTAGTGCGACTTATTCCTTCACATCATGTAAACCTGTTAACTTTCAAATGTCTGGTTTTTTTTTAGCACAGTCTGTCTAAGGCCGCAGAAATGTTCCTGCATACAGTTAATTGGGGTCAGAGTCCTCCTCTGTGTGTGAGCTCTCCCTTTGTGCTGCCCGTCAGCTCCTCTACAGTCTAACAAAGCAGCGTTTGCAGAATCATATTTCCAGTGCTGGATAGTTGGACTTCATGTCGATTATCATTTAATTTCCTGGTGTCCTTTCTCTTAATGTCTGTTTGAGAGCTTTTATTAGCTTTGCTGAATGTGAATTAGATTCTCTGCCTTTGTTCAGTTTTCAAACCCAAAGAACTGAAAAATCTTTATTTTTTCTTTCATTTGTTTTTTTTTCTTATTCTGTAAGTTAATTGGGTTAGTTGACATTTGATGGAGATGCAACACGTTCAAGTGAATTTTAATTATGCATAGGTCTTTAAACACAGCACTATCACTCCAGCCGGTCTTAGTGAAATGTATAATTATAAAACAGGTGAAAAGTGACATTTCTAAACATTGTATTTGCTCTTTTACTGTTTTTTTTTTTTTTGAAGGATCTGTACACACTAGATGCAACATATTTGTGCACATTCTTTTCTCGCTGCTTCCTCCTCAGGTTCCCACGATTCACTGGGATCTTTCCACAAAGAGGATCCTGACCATGGAGTTTTTAGAGGGGGGGCAGGTCAACGACAGAGAATACATGAAGGAAAATGGCATCAACGTCAATGAGGTGCTGCACTTGAAATTATTAGAAATTATTAAAAATGTAATGACTCTTACTCTAAATTAGAACCAGAACTTAGAGTCTACACTGCCAAATCCAAATCTGCAAAAATCCATTTTTTTATCTGTTAAATACACTTTGTTGTGAACTTGGAGTCTGTAGGAGGCAGAATAGTTGAATTTAGTCTCTCCTGGTGCTGCTAAGATATTTTTATATTCTCTTTGGGTCATATGTTTCTGCCTGTTCAGTTTTCTCTATTTTCTGTGATGTTTTCTGAACTATTGACGGAATAACCATGAAGGTCTGGACTTACTGACTACAATTTCCTCATCTTAATTCTGTTCTGGTTCTGGGTCAGACTCTGGTTCTGGGCCAGACTCTGGTTCTGGGCCAGACTCTGGCTCTAACATGCAAGATTGGATGGACAAGTCTTCTGGTGCTGACATCTTTTAATTAAATCGTAAATAAAATGCTTCTGCGAGCTAGAAAACGTAACCCCCTCTCTCTTAAACTGGAGTGGACCGGTCAGGAAGCAGGAGGGGGGCGGGGCTTGAAGCATCTTAAATGGAACAATAACAAAACCAGCTGCTTTGAGACAGCGGTAAAATGGTGAAAGAGAGGCTGGTAAAGTTACAGTAAGGAGGAATTCAGACCAAATTATTGTAGTTCCAATTTAAAAAGACCCCAACTGAATGATTTAAAGGGCCAATATTATGTGTTTCTCAGGCATACATTTAAATACTATACCATAATAAAGTATCTATGTTACCTTTAGCTGTTATTAAAATGCTGTTTTTATGTTTAAAGAGAAAATATACTTATATTCTCATCACTTCCTCTTCTACACGCCTTGAAATTGGTCTCTGTCTCTTTAAGAACCACCTTCCGCTTCTGTSCCGTCCATTTCAGTGCCGGGGGGTGCGCGCGCCATGATGCAGTTTACTTGGCATCTGAAAATACATTTCCTCAAAGGTATTTTGAATCTGAAAAKAGCTTCACTGAGTGAGAAGTAGTATTAAGAGCAGCAGACAGTTTAAGTTTCACTTTCACTCGTTTGCTTTGTTATTGTCGAGAGCCTGACGGAGTCATGGGCGGGGTGGGGAGGTGTGCTCCGTGATGAGGAAGTTCGGCTTAAAGACACGTCCCAGAGGCGTTTCTGGTCCCAAAAGGCGTTTCTGGTCCCCACCTGTCGTTTTGCCCCTCAGCATAGCTGCATAAAAACGCTGCAGGGTTTCTCAAACATGCATGAATGAGTCATGTCATTCATGAGACATGAATGGGCATGTTTTGTTATGAGAGTATAACATWATAACATGATATAAAACTCAAAAATGTTGATTTTACATGATATTGCACCTTTAAATGTGAAAAGGAAGGACTTAAAGCATGATATGTCTACAGAGAGCGCACTATAAAACTGACATAACTGAAAAACACTAGTAGTTTTTGATATATCCTAATAAAAAGGACAGGTTTTCTATAATAAAAAGACAGAAATGGAAGAACTACTCGCTGGGCAGAAATGACGAGCGTTACAGATGCTCTGATGGATGATGGAGACGATAATAAACACTCGGAGGATGGCAGGAATTTTAAAGTGTCAGTGTTTCGTGCTGGTTGCTGTTTCTGTCTGTGGAGTCAGAAGATTTATGAAGGTCCAAATGAATTTTTTCCACTGAAGTCGACCGAAGCTTGATGTGATCAGATCGAGGCAGCGTTTCCTGGGATTTGTTTGTGCCACGGTTTGAGACTTAAAAAAATGCTGCGAAAAATGTAGGGAAATAAAAACGCACCACAATTTCTTTAACTTTTTTAACAATTAAAAAAAAATTTCAACGTGGCATGGATGTAATATATGTGTTGGTACTATTTTCAATAGATAACAAATCATAAATGTTGCTTGGTGAGGTTATTCCTCTTTTATGTTTCCAACAGATCTCAGAGAATCTCGGCAAAATGTACAGCGAGATGATCTTCGTCCACGGCTTCGTCCACTGCGACCCACACCCCGGCAACGTGTTGGTCCGAAAGTGTCCCCGGAGCCAGAAGACGGAGATCCTTCTGCTCGACCACGGCCTGTATCAGGTGGGCAAATCTCTGAGCCGCCTGCGCACAAACAAAACACTGTTTGCTGTAATATTGCAGCCCATTTTTCATGCTGCCGGCTCAGGCCTCGGGCAAATTGGTGGAGCAGCAAACACACAATCAAGACGCACATAAAAACCCAGAGATCACACACAAACCCCCRAAGACAGACACACACTTTTATTAGAGTACAGCAGGATAAAAGCTTTTTCATAAACAACTCATTTGATGTTGTTTTTAGCAGAGTGCAGAGTGCTACGTTTGAATGCACCACAGCCTAATCAGACAGGGTCACACGTGCGCGCACGCACACACACACACACACACACACACACACACACACACAC